AATTAGAGGGCGGCTGGCGGCATGTTAAATAAATGTATCAGCTGTTATTTTTTTTACCTCTCGCCTCGTCCGCCCTTGGGAAAAAAAACGCCTGATCGCAGGTTAATAGGCGACAGGTCAGTGAAGCTCAACGAGAAAAAGAGCGAAGGAGAGCAGGAGCGAGAGATAAGAAGCCATTTTTGTTGGAAGAACAACATAAATTTACAGCGGCGGTGAGAAAATGAGAAATGCTAGCGGCCACCAAAGAAAAATGAGCGGCAGTGGAAAAGTGAACAAGAACATGTACGACATTTCCTCCATATAACGTGTAACCAGGAAGTTTCTTGACGTTTGACGTTGTAGTCTTGCAAAACAACGGCAAAGAAAAATACAAAAAAAAAAGAAGTGCGCTGCACGGGCAAATCTGTTTACCTATTGTTGTTTATTCAAAGTTCTCGTTGCCTTCGCCCCTTAGCTTTACACTATTTTATATTTAGTTTGAGCAAACTATAGATATTACCGAGAGCTTCGCTATTAGCCCTGGCTAAATCAATATTATATTTTTATTGCATGTTTAAAACAAGACCGATGAAAACAGTTCATAAATCCATACGTTACACTGGTATCATCTGCATAGGCCATTGTGCGGAAGAACCATAAGAAGGTGGTGGGCAAAAAGGGTACGTTGAGATCATCCCTTGTGGATGAATACGTTGGTAATACCAGCCAGTGTTGGGGTTCACAACGGCCTGGGTATTACAAATAGCTGGCTGTCCTAATCTGTGGCATGTAAACAACAACGGCAAGTTTCGAACACATTGTATTAAAGCGTTGTTATTTCGACTGTGGTTCGGGTTCTGGTTTTAATTATGGCCGTGATGATGCTCTTTTAGTAGGTGTGGTTGTTATTGCAGCTCGTCGTCGGTGTTTGCTTTCCTTAGATAGCATCTCCCGAGAAATGTTGGACCTTGTTGCTGCCACATGGTGGAATCACAGTGTTGAGACTCTTTTGATTCGTTGTCACAGGAACTGGCAACAGAGTCAAACTGTACATGGCCTTCCATAGTAGAAACTGGTTAGGCCACTCAGCCGGCTTTGGTTAGCTGGTTGGGATTTTAGAATAACCGCTTTTGCTGTCATTGCTGATCTGGGATACTCTGTGTGCATTCACTGAAATCTTTGCAGTGCTCCAAGTTCTGTCACCAGCCTGGCTGTGCTGCTGTTGCGTTATGGGGAGAAATTGATATGGTAAGAGCAGATTTTTGTGAAGAACACGCTTATCGTGGTCGCTTCCCTCCGTATATACCTCGTGGACAGGGCTCTCCCCTTTCCACCACCACGTGAATCTGTTCCTCCCAGTATTCCTTACGTTTACCCGGTCCTCTAGGATCCGGAAGATTTCTCACAAGAACTCTTTCCCCAGGTTCCAAGGTTGTATCGTGGGCTTTGTGGTCTTGAAATGAATTTTCCTTGAGAGCTAAAGAGCGACCCTTTTCTGCTTCCAACGGAACACGAGGAACAGCTTTGCATTTCCTTCACATAAGCGGAGTGACTGTCCTTCACTGATCCTGGTGAAGAATGTCAACAAGTAAACGTGGTGTTCGTCCCAACAAAAGAAACAATGAGGAGTAGGCTGTTGATTCGCGCCTTCTGCATTTGTGCGTTAACAACTTTGGGAGTTACTGATGCCGTTCACCATACTGTTCTTCGGGTAGAGTTCTTGTCAATACCAGAAGGGTCTTGTTCATTATCTAGTCTTTTCCATTGTACTATGGGTGGTATGGTATAGGTTTTGAACGGACCATTCCAATCCAGTGGTGTTATAGATGAAACAGTTTGCTCTCAAACGTGTTTAACACGTCGTGTAAGATGCGAGCTGAAAATGCAAAGCAATATTATATCATAGCACATCACATCATATTATATCATATCATATCATGTCATATCATGTCATGTAATGTCATGTCATATCATATCATATCATATCATATCATATCATATCATATATCATGTCATATCATATCATATCATATCATACACATCATTTGCATATCATGGCGACTGAGAACGCTTTTTCACATGCTCCGTATATTTTGCATTCGTGGTGATGCTTTCAATTCGATTTTATACTAATACTACGAGGACACACGTAGCGGTCAGCTTTAATCGATGAAAGGCAAATCTATCCCAAAGCAGTTTCTCTACATTCAAGCTGAAGTTCAATGGCTACTTTAAGACAAGAATTGCGAAGTATTCAAACTCGTCGTCCTATTTTCAGTTATCAAGACTCCAGCTTTCTGGTAACATCTCTCCTAATCCAAGGCCAGATAAAGAAACTAGACAGAGCACAGATCATCTATGCTTTAGTTTGAAAGAGAAAAAAGTCTGAAACTGTGCCATTTAAAGATCCGATCTCTTCAGGCGGGCCATTTCGAAGAAATTACGGCACTGATGCTCATCAACAAGTTGGATGTGTTCGCAAAGAGAGAAACTTGGCGCAATCACACTTGGCGTGAACCTAAATTAGCGATCGACGGCAATACAACCCCCGATGTGATAGAACTGACTCCGAAGGGGGAGGAACAGCGATTTACGCGAAGGACTCGCTTATAGGTGTATGTCGACGGATACAGCTCCTTATATAGGAAACGAAATGCTGAATTTGTGTCTCGAGAAAAAAACAACAACAACACACTGAAGGATCAAAATTATTATTCATTTTATTCTTTTGTACTCCAAACTCAACAGCAGAGTCGTAATTATCATGGTCAGTACTCGATGCTTCTTCGGATGTTAAGGTCAATCTTACAATTTGAAATACCCTGTTTATGAATGCGATGAACGAACACATACCACATGTCACTCATAGGGTGAAAAAAAAGAACTGCTGGGATGGAAGACTCAAGACATTCTTCAGCAAATATTTATCAGGGACAAGTTTAAAGGACGTGCCAAGAATAATATACTAGCCTGAACAATGTACAAAAGAGCCTGAAACACTGCCGTTGTACTGATTTGCAATGCAAAGTCAAAGTATTTCAAAGATAAAATCCTAGAAAACAAAACAACACAATGCAAGAAATCTTTGGAAACTGGTAAAACAAACTGTGTCAACTAAACCTTCTTCCAAAGCGCCAGTCGCTATTAAAGTTAACGAAGAACAGATCACAGACCCAAAGAAAATTTCAGATGCTTTTAAATGAAATATATTTTACCTCGTTGAATGTAATATCCAAACTATCAGAAGATCTGGTAACCGCAGAATCTGAGCTTGATGCTCTTCTATTAAACTTTGTCAATACTCAAATAACTGATAAAGTTTAATTCTCCATTAAGCCTTTTACTAAGGAAATTATAGACGCAGATGTGAGAAAAATACCATCTGACAAACGGGACCTTGATGGCATCAGTATCAGGGGCACCCAACGACTGTTTTCTGTAAAATATCTGTTCGGAGAAGCAATTATTGCCTAGAATTTTCCATTACTTGAGGACGGCTAAAAATTTCTAGATGACCGTTCCATTCATCTAGAATTTTCGAAGCTTATCTTATACATTCCCTACGATTTTCTGATTTCAAAAGTTTAATTTTCACATTTTACGTCCCAAGTTAGCCTATTTTTTGTGGAAAAAAGGAACCTTAAATTTTCGGATTCAAAAATGTGATAGCGTTTGGTATCAGAAAATGTCTCACTTTCGTAATACGTTCAATTTTCGTCTAAAATTTTCAGAAAAATAATACTCCAGCCCTTGTAATTTAAAAAAGACGCAAGTTCCACTAGGATGACCGAACAGATACAAATTTTATAGCGCCGCTTAAAATCCATTTCTAGAGATCTAAAAGTACTCTCGATAACCTAAAAAGCGATTTTTAAATGCAATTAGGAGGAAACCATCTTTGGGTGCCTTTGCAGTATTCGTGTAATCAAGGAGGTTTTTACCAGCAATATCCCCGAGTCTTGAGCATATTTACAAAGCAAGCATCAGTCAAGGTGTCTTTCCTGCGACATTCAATGAAGCCAGGGTAATACCACTTCACAAAAACAAAAACAAAAAATCAACGAACGAAAGAGGCAATTATCGCCCAAGATCTGTCTTGCCTATTTTGTCTAAACCTTTGGAACGACATGTAGCATCAGCCTAACTACGAACAATTTAAGCTACACTACAAGAACCAGTCTACCAACCGGCCCTTTCATTCCTACCAAACTGCACTACTAAACATCACTGACAAATAGCTTAAGGCTATGGACAACAGTGAACTCGTGGGAACAGTTATTCTGGACGTCAGTAAGGCTTCTGACCTAGTGAGTCATGATATCCTGATAGCTGAGCTATCCAAGTATCACACTAGCTCAACTGCAATTAACTGGTTCAGGTCCTACTTGTCCGAACGTAAGCACGTCTGCTCAGTATCTGGTGTGCTTTCCAGTCAAGCAAGCCTAGACAGAGGCGTCTCATAGGGTTCAATTTTACGCCCTCTTCTCTTCTTCGTCTACATGAACGATCTCTCTTTTGTTTTGAAGGAAACTGAAGTGGACATCTATGCTGACGACACAACTATTTGGTCAAGTGGAACCAATTATACTAAAATACAGCAAACTCTGAATAGGAATCTAGGAGAAGCTAACAGGTGGTTTAAACTCATCGAAATGAAACCTAACACTAAAAAGACCAAGCATCTACTTATTGGTATTGCTAAACATCCCAGTAATTGCGAAAGACTGCTTTAGAACTTTCCATTGACAACGCAAGGCTAGAAGAATTATTAGGTGAAAAGCTTCTTGGTGTCGTCATCAATGCCAACCGCTCATGAGACTTACAAATTGACTACCTTATTAAAAAGCTGACTCTAGAATATGCCTCCTTAAGAAAGCAAAGACCCACTTATCTATTAAATGTAGAAAAATGTACTGTATGGGAAAATTGCTCTGTCGAAAACCTCGAAAGGCTCTTGAGACAACAATTAATTAATTAATTTTGGATGCCACATAAACGAGAGCATTGTAAAACTCTTTGATAAATTAGGTTGACTGCCAATAGATGACATCATGTGTGTAAGAAACCTTCTCATGCTACACAAAGTGAGTCAAAATCTCTGTCCTGAATATTTCATGTTCGTTCTTCTCATGGTCATAGAATAACAACTTTCTGACACCTTTCTGTAACAGAAACTCAGGACTTGGGACGTTTTATTTAAGTGCTTGTCGTTTATGGAACAAATTAGGCCACTCGTATAGAGACATAGTTTTCCATACGATGTTTAAAAAAAAAACACTTCAGGATAAGTTCACCAACGACAACGCCTCGTTAGAACATTTGAAGATTTGCAGAACCTTTTAAATATTTATCTTTTTTTTCTTTTTTTTTTCTTAATTCTTTTTAATTTATAGCTTTTGTTTTTATATGTGGAGGGCCATTATGAAAACTACTGGGTAATCGGCAATAATGTTTCTACCTTCGTTAAACAAAGTTCTTCTTCTTCTTATATCATATCATATCATATCATATCATATCATATCATATCATAGCATTTTTTCAAGTGCTGGTGGTCAATGGATATTAACTCAACCGGTGTCGTCATTAGAATACCCTGGATATGGGCAAGTGTGAAAATATTTTCATTTTAATTCCATGTACAAGAGATCTTTCCTGGTGATAGGCTGCTTCCAAAACTCGCAACAGTTGTGTGGACACCAGGAAGATGGTGGCGGTCAGGTACTGTCCTCTCGTGCAGCTCACAAAAGTCGATGCAGAGTGTTATATTAGAGAACCATTCCTTTTCCGCACGCATACCACAAGTGATAAAAAAGCTAATCGTGACTTCTGAGAGTCACTGAATGTTTCTGGCATACCAACCTGTCGTGGCAAGGTCATTTAATGCCCGGTTAAACAGCATCGGAGGTCTTGATTCAATTGGACCAGTACTTACAGAGCAAGTCACTACTACTGTCTCATTCTTTAGAATTGACACATTGCCCACTGTTAGTTTTGCGCTACACAGTACAATTGGTCATGATGTTCTAATGAATTTGATCAAAGCCTTTGCACTCCCATGTGAGGCATCAGGTAGGCTCAAGCTCATTACGTTAACCCCAGTTAACAAACATGGAAACCTTTTTTTCCCTCTGAGTCTGAGGATCTGTGGAACCTCTACAATTAACATCCCCGACCATTATGATCATTTGAGCCACACTGGAAACAACGCTCATAAAACTATTGGTTCGCCTGTTCACAAACCTGGAAACGGTTGCCTGTACTAGTGCTTTTATCTTTCCTCCAGGGATTAAAGCTTGTTTCAAGACAGCAATATCTGATTGAACGGCCTCCAGTGTAACCATGAGCTATTAATGATTGTCGGGAATTGTTTCTTCCTTTGCACCAGTTTTCTTTGAATGTATTTGACCTCCTCCTCCTCTTGATAGGCAGCACCAAATTTTCACAGTCGCTCAGATTCTTCCGAAACCGCAATGCTTATCTGTTCCATCAGCTCTTCATCCATGACATTTGCATTTTGAAGCAATTGTCGTAGTTTACTGCTTACAACCTCATCCCGTAAGCACGTTTCAAATAAATGAAAGTTTAAGAGTGAACCAGCGAAGGTTCAAATTATTTTACCACACCACGTTCAGCTTTAGATGTAAAGAGGACCTGTTGCCTTAAATCAAGGGCGCTGATTATGAGGTCTTATGAAGTATCCTTTGGCGATTGGCATATGGCTTTTAGTTCCTGGTGGAGTTTGGTCCCAAACTGCAGGTTACAGTGCGCGCGTTACATTTGTCTCCATTTTCGCAAGGTAAGTTTTAAGGTAGTTACAAAATGCGATCTTAGTTTTAAGCTAGGGCCGGCTGCAGGAATAAATACATCAATAATTCCCCGTTCGTCGAATCCTTTCTTAAGCCCTGTATAAAATGAAGATGGCGAATTAAGCTAACAAAGGAGATTTAGTACTTCTGTTCCTCTCCTCCGATCCAATTTACACCAACCATCTTAAAATCCTTTCGTGTCTCCGAGAAACGTTTTTAATACCACAAAGTAAAAAAAAAAAATAAACCCGTTTGACACCGTTTTGACAATTTAGCCGGCGTCGTAGATGACTCTACGCCCTCGAGTTTGATGGAGGCCTCTTCCATCTTTTCTTGAACGAGTCGAATGTTTCCTTGAATTGTTTATTCAGCGCTTCGTGCTTTACTTTTGCTTGCACCGGCTCTTCAGTTTAATCCACACTTTCAAATTCCCCACACCGTACATCAGAAAGATCTGTTTTAGCCCTAAAATGGGGCCGTTTCGGGGAGTAAAATACAGTCCTATTTTTGAGTCTAATTTGGCTTCCTTAAATGAGGGCCAATGCAGTCCAATTAACTAGGGCTGATTTGGTCCCAAGGGCTGAAATGCGCCCTAGCGTGGGCTGGAATAGCCTTTTGATTGAGGTTTTTTGGCCTAAATTGTGCTCAAATGGCTCCAGGAAGGGCTGAATCAGACTTTGTCCTGTAGAGCTGAATTGGAACTTTGGGGCTGGTACAGATCTTTTTAATTTTCAGTGCAAACAATGCAAGTGACAGTGGTATTGCTGACATAAAATTTCGATTCGCCACAAAATATTTGATCTTTCTTTTGCTTTTTCCCAGCAGTGATGAATCTTCTTATATTTAAGAGCTATTCTCCAGGATACCTTCTTACACAATTCTTCGATAGGTTGTGACTGTAACGTTGTTAGGATCAGTCAGAATATCCAAAACGAGATATCGTTGGAAACCTTTGCTGACGTTGTTGCTTACCAATTTATTAACTTAAACTGAAAGCTAAATGGGTCTAGGAAGAAAAACATGCATGATCATGCATCGTTCCATATGGAGTGATAACGACCAAAGTAGTCGTCTAAGGTTTAATGCCACCGAAATCACAATGCTAGAAGAACATGTTTAGAGCTCTGGTAACGCCGTTTTCTACGACAAGTAAATCATACCTGTACCAAGAGGCAATAAGGCGCAAATAAGAGCAGATAACGTGTTCCGGGGGGGGCGCACTCAAGGGAAGTCTTGGTAGAGCTGTGCCGCCGAGGCCTTCAAACCTCGACCGTGTTTAAGATTCTGATATTAATTTGTTTTGTTTTACAGGAAGAATGAAGTAGTTTTTCAAACTAACATCACAGAAATGGAAACTTAATTTGGAAAATGATTATTGGTATTGCGAATGTAAACTGCTTCCAGCCCAAAGAGACACTTTTTAAGACTCTTTTAAGCGAACTTTACTATTAAAATAATAAAAAAAAAAATTAGAATTTTACTTTTAAAATAGTAAAATACTACACCCTGTTTAATTTTCAACACCTTGTATTCAGCGGCACAAACCCGAACTATATAAGCCAAATAAGGGAGTGGTCCCCCCCCCCCTCGCCACACACACACACACACACACCTCGAAACGTGCTCCACTCTTCTTCACGATTGGAAAATTTAACATAAACATAGATTCAATTGTACTGCATTTGCTACTCAAACATCATAAGCTGAAGAAAGGTTCCCACGCAGAGTTACTACTCTACTTAACGTACGAACGAGGGGAGCAGAACAATGGTTCTTCTTCACATTGCGGATTAATAATTGCTCCTGTAAAGTCGAAAACATGACTCGCATGGCGGCAGATTCTCCAGCTTGACCTTCCAGCCTTAAGCTTGGGATAAATCTCGAAGCAAGCACATCCACACTATGCCACTTCTTTCCATGCAGTTCACACACGGGTCAGGCTTCCGTATCTTGAATTTAAAGTTCTCATTGGATACTGATTACTCTTTTCTGCAATACTCGCCATAACTCAGATGTACCCTCCATTGGTTGGAGAAGCTGGACTGCTTTCCTATTCCCTTTACCAAAGAAGGCGGAGATGTTATCACAGCCTGTCATCAAGTTTACACCGTAAGGGCTCCTTATGAAGCAGTGGTTAACATTTCCTAAGTCGGGTTGCATAGAAAGTTCGCGCCTCTTCCATTTTTCATGTAGCATCTTTTCAAAGTCAAGCTTTTGCTGTGAGCAAGCAGTAGGACAAAGACATCAATGTCAGTGTATCAGAGTGCATCACACTGTCGTTCCTGCGTGCATTCCAGGCATGAAGAACAATATGCGTATCAGCCTCTTCGTCACGGAACTGTACCTCAGGAACACGGTCTCTGATCATCATGTGTCTGCGTCTGGTCGCCCAACTGGTCTTTGGTTGTCACACGTCCATGACCCAGTTGCCGATTCTGCTTCTAAATACTTCGGTTTTGCCCTGTGGCACAAGGAATTTGACGATCTCAGAAAATTTGTGTTGGCACTCTCAGCCTATTTGTGTTGGCTCGTTTCATGACTTCATAGTATAGTATATGACATTCTCCTTGCCGTCGCTGTTGTACTTTCATTAGGTCCTTAGTTACTCTAAGCGACCACATGGAACATAGTTCCAGGGGAGATATAACTACAACTTCTGCAGCCTGCCGTTTCATCGGAACTGCCCGTTAATATGTTCTCGGCTTACCGGAGCTGTCCCAGAAGTGCCATCCAATCCCAAGAGGAAGTACAAGATCCTTGTTGCGAACCTTATGCACAGCCTTTACCTTGACTTTCTTCACTGGATCAAAGTAAGCGTGGGATTGGATGAGCAGCGGCTCATTACAAAGTCATTCGCTGGCTGCTTTCTCTTGCCCGTGGAGGGCAGTCAGTCATCACTTACTTCTTTGTGGACAAGCTTAGCGAGT